AGCTCGTTAGGGTCGTTCCAGTATACTAAATTATGTTTTTGTAATTTGACTGACAGTCCAGCGCCCGATGGAAACAGATAAAGTAGGTAGTGGTTGTGGTTTWAAAGCAGCACTTAAAGCCACTAAAAATGTTATCAAGAAAAATGTCGGTGAAAAAAACTTGATGAAATTAAGGGAAAAATGTGTAGCCGTCGCGCGAAAAACATTCAAAATTAAAAAGACCAAAGTTCCACGAACAATAAATATTCCGAAAAAAGGCGGTGTGCTACCACTCATACCGATTTTTGCAGGGTTGTCAGCTCTGGGAGCTCTGGTGGTGTGGCCAACGTTGTGAAAGTGGCTAATGAATTTAATAGAAACTCAGCATCTCATTTGGGAAAAGGACTATATCTCACACCATATAAAGGCAACTCGTATAAAATAGAAACACCGCATAAAAGTGGTCCAAAAGCAAAAAAATATAGAAAGTCAAAAAACTAATAGCCACGTTACCCAGAAGAGCGTTGTATGATTTCGAACTTATAAAAATCGCTCGCTTAATGAAAATACCTCATTTCATCGGAGTGTTTACCAGAGATAAGTTGTCTAAACGCCCTTAACGTCAAGAATCGTCGATTGTTAACTTGGACGCTGAAAGCGGTACAGGAACGCATTGGGTAGCGTATAAAAAAATCGGAAAAAAAGTCGAATACTTTGATAGCTTTGGGAATTTACCACCTCCAATTGAATTACAACAATATTTTCACGGATGCGACATACATTTCAATTACAGCAGAGAGCAGAAATATAATACTACAAACTGCGGACACTTGTGTTTAAAGTTTTTATCATGTTCACATTAACGTTAAACGGAAACTCGAGTGAGTTGTCGTGCGAGATCTTTCCACCGTTGGAAGTAGAAAATACTGCHCAGATATGTCTTTTGAGTTTACAGACAAATAATTCTATACCAAACATAGAACCTGGTTGCAATACTATCGGATTTCGTAATATAATCAATAATAACGATAACGTTATTATACCTACAGGCACTTATGAGTTGGATCAGTTAGAGTCTATTATACAAAACATGATGCCTGACTATGTCAGATTTTTTGAGTTAAAAGCAAA